TGAAGGGTACGGTTGTGCACTAAATGCACAAAAAGGTATAAGACAAAAACAACTGGCACAACTGAGGATAAATGTATTAAAACCAAAAGTGGACATCATGATAGTACGAGGTACACGTGTAGCATTATACATTGCAAGTGAACGTTGTCAGCCTAGGGAGTTTATTTTATTAATGCATTTATTAATGATACTTGCACTTACCTATTTCACTACACTTTAGTGATTCACCTCAGCACTTTTACTTTTCTAAAACAGCTTTGAATACCTTGTAAAAGTTGTACTTACCTCAATATTGGTTGGTTATCGAATGCCGACAACCACGGGATGAAGACAGCCTGTCGACGGACGTAATTTTGAGTGGCCGCGAATGAGATAAACAAGCGATTCGCTCACTCGTGATTGGCTATTTCGTCATTCGAGTTGAGGTAATTTCAAACATCATTTTGCTGCTTGGTTAAGTCCTGAATTTCCGTGAGAGTTTTCTCGAATTGGATAGATAATTGACAACACAAATTATTACAGCTCAGGGAAGAAATGATATAGCAGTAGATTTGTTTGCTGAATTCAACGAATTCATGCCAAATTACGATCTAAGGACTTCTCAGGAGTGTCAAGAATGCAAACAATGTCCTGAAGAGGTAATAACTTCACGCAACTTCAATCATCGCTTGACCATTATTTTCAGAGATCCCTATTTAAGTATAATATACACAGTGGTCTAGCTAATCATGATAAAAACGACATGGTTGATGCAGCATATACGTATACTTTTGTATATGTAGGTAAACCTAGATGAACTGTGTCCTTGTCACGAATATCGGAAAGCAGGTACCAGATGTCTCAGTAAGCAGTGTAATACATGTAAGTTACATGTTTTTATTTGACATAAACTGGATCTCCACTCACTTTCAGAATTAATCTTAAATTCAGTTGGAATAAGCTTGTTGAGCACATCAGTATTGGGAGAATACAGTGAAAGTAAGTAAACACATGCTTCTTAAGATTAAGTGGTAAATTTATTTGGTATGGTTGTATTATTATTAGTTGTCTATCTAAGTTAATGATGAATTCGTTGCGATAATAATACCTATTATTGTTTTTATAGTCACTGTAATCATGAATGTTATTATTATTGCTGTCAAAACCTATTATTTGTCATAAAGTTGTTGTCACTTTTGCTAAAATATTTGTACAAGCTTTGGAAACTACTGCATAACTTGTCGTTAAATAATTTTATCATTTCATGATGCTTTGATGGACCTACTAGATATCGACAAACGATAAGTTGCGAAGTCCCTTAAGTTTAGTGAAAACTATTGGGCTACTTATATATATATATTGTTTGTAAAGTGATCACTTGTAAATGCTTATCAGGAAAATTTTTTATTCAGATCATACATGTAATACCCAAGTTAATTATGCTTTTCTTAAACCTTTTCAGACTTATGGAAAAACATATATGTACCGTGTACGCAGATGGAACTTACTGACGGTAACAGAGGACTACTCATCTGTATTATCTGTACATTTGAAATCTAATTTTTGTTTAATAAACAATTTTTCAATGAATCTGTCTTCCTTCTGTTGTAATGCGATTGTGTTCCAGTAACACAAGTAGCACGTGCTAAGTTAGAAGTTGAGGGTAAACTGTTAGGAGTAAATTTGGCGTCTGGAAAACTTCTGTTTACGTGATTATATGAGCAGATAGCAACGTATCGTGTTCTTTGGCTGAGGACCCTAGGCATTCTGTTTTTAATTATTACGATAACCGTAGTTGCACTGAGTCATACATCTAACAGCATAGGTATAGTCTCTCCTTATGGTATACTGCGGCATGCAGAGATCACAAGCAAACTACCTCAGGTAGATTTATTCTCAATTGGTGGCTATGAATCGCGAATCAGTATATGTATTCTGCTAAGACGATAGATAACTCGAAACGCTTTATAATCGCAATACCTCCTCTACGATTTAGACATATTTACTTCATTTGACTGCAACATAATCTTTTACCAATAGGCTTCTCCGAATATCTGCTCCTACTTAGTATTTCAAAGATAGCCTCACATACTCTACACCTCACAGATTACGCAAGGGCTAATATTCGGTCTTATCAAGTAGAATAAACAAACGAATAACAAGGAGTACATTTATTAATGAATTAACATGTATTATGAAATCGACAACAGTGCTGGTATCTTTTTCTTTATCACCCAAATCCATGAAATTCCCGAAAGTAGATATTATCTGAAAAAGAACATAAGAATTATACAGATGTAGACATTGTTATCAGTGTAAACACAATAATTAACTATTAAATATGCTTAAAATGACAAAATAATGATTTGAACTGTATATAATTATGTTAGTCAACATTTTTCAATAATGCAAAGTTGATATTCCATCTGTAGGGGACTAATATTAGAGTTCACTAACATTCCAAGTATAAAAGTAATAATCCAAGTCAGTGGAGTGTTAAATCACAATATATTACCAAAAACACTGTGACGAGTTATAGCAACAAAAAGGATTACTTGGATGTAAAGTCTAAGTCCTCGGCTACAAATTAATTATATAATCCACGGGCACGTTTATTGTTTGGACTGCGTCTGCTGTAGCTGCTGTGTTCCGGTTGTAGAAATGTCTTCGGTTGAGAGTAGTAGGCTCCTACAATAAATCCGAAGTATACAACACGGTGTGAGTGGAGCAAGTAAGCAGAAGTGACCAGGGAGAAGACGAAGTCTCCAACAGCAGAGTGTATTTTTCAATTGTACCAGAAAGTTATGTATATTTCAACAAGAAGCGTTTTAAGCAAAAATTATGTACAATATCTCGAATTCATACAAGTAACCAAAAAGTGTACAATCACATTGTTGCGTACTCCACACATCTGCCTGCTAACATCAAGTTTATGCCATCAAATAAGGAAATACTATGCATATGTAATTTTTAAGTATTTCTGCAGATTTTTCTTAAAGAAATACATGTGGAGGAGCCTTGTCAGCATTTAGGCAAAGTACACAACAAAGTAAGTGAAATAATTACCAGAACGAGCTATCCCACCTCATCATGTCCATGTGTAATCCATTAAACTGCAAAGTAAATTCACAAAAAGTCGTTATAACATGTGTTTTCAAGTAATTAGGCATTTTCTGAACGGAAAAATTATGTATTTTCAGCAAACTGTTAACTGCCTGTGACCTACGTCCGGATAAGGACACCACCATATGCTCTTTCTGCTAAATAGGCCGCATTTCATCAACTTTTGCCAGGAATCTAGCTAAAAAAGTGTGAAAAACAACGAAAAATGACCTAACCTTGACGTTTATCCAATAAATAACGCTAATATCCATCAGCTGATCAAATGACCTACGTCCGTCTACAGGCTGCCCGGGATAAAAACGAAACGAAGTCGATTTTCCCACTCAACCTGGAGGACAATTGTACAATTCAACAACTATACGGCCTAGTTCAGACAATGAGTGTATTATATGTATCAAATATTTAACAGTTGAAGTGTGATTAACTTGTAGACAATCTGAGATTTGAGACTATATCTTACTTGATCGTGCCTGTAAAAAAGGGCATGCATTTTCATGTAAATTTAAATTTGTATGAAATACATTACTTTATGATTACTAATATTACTACAAAGCCTTCCACTCATTGCATTTCTTTCCATTCCTACCATTTCTTGCGCCAGCGTTACTTACTTATAGTTCACTGTTACTTCTTCGTTGCACCCTATTTACACAATGCAAGAAATTGAGAAAATGAGTGCAATACTTAGGATACGGCAGTAATAAGGGTATAAGCAGATTAACACTGCAGCGACGTACAACAGTAATAATAATTTGTTTTGTTCCAAAACAGTATTAATGTTACAGTGTTGAATTTGTAGCATCTCGTACATTACTGCATCCAATTTTATGAAGCAATATTCGAAAAAGTTGTTAAGATTACATTACAGGATTGTTAAGGACACTTCAGATTTGGTATTAGCAGTGGCAGTGAAATCCATATGTATATTTATATATATTTATTTACCAGAAAAATGTAAATAATAGGGTTGGTAACTAAAAATTGTCAGTTAATTGAGGTAGTCTGACCGTAGATTGAAGTAGACAATAAAAGGGCCACTTATTTACCTAACAACACAGTAATTCATAAGTCTTACGCTTTACGTTTTCGCTTCCACATAGAACACTGACTGTCTATATGCGGTATCGCTGAGTTCTCACGCTTGATTGGACCATCGTATAATCTTTTATACTGACTTCTGGTTCCATCAGATGAAATCAAAGGGAAGAACTGAGAATAAAGGGAATGTTTAGGGTTAGACAGCATAGATTTGGAGCATTTCTCGCATTAGTTCATATATCTTTCATCTAATGCATTTGTCATCAAAGTCTCATAAACCGTTAATGCCCAGCTCTCGCCACGCTCGGGCCCACGCTGTTCTTAGAAGATTTCTGAGAAACGCTTAGTAACAACGGACGAAAAAACCAGAACACCAATTGTTGACTTGAGTATTATGTATTGTTACACCAGCATATAAATCAAGTATCACTAAGCAAACTAAGAAAACTAAGGTCTGTAAACAAATATTACAATAATAAATCGTTATGTTACTTCTAACGATGTTTAACTCTTCTTTCTGAACAGCGACCGATGAGACGATGACTGTCGTATTGATGCCTCCGCGAAAATCGAGGAAGTTGATTTTGAGCAAACAACCAAGAATTGATCGTTCAATCTTCAACTCCATTGACACTCCCCGGCAAAAAAGGGATCCAACCCTTTTTTCCTTCACGACCAATGCACGTTGACTTGGATGCCATTGCGAGAACCTGGGTCACACGGACAGAGCTGAAATGGAAAACAAACAGAAAAGCCAACACACCACAAGCATACCCACAGCACAATCTCACACATCAATGACGACCTGCGCCTCGAAAGACAGAGATCCTCTTGACATCTTGCAACACAATCGCCACTTGCTAGAATGACTCTTGCAGAATGCAAAGTGACCATGGCAGCACCTCACGATACTCTACGCACATCCTCTTATCTACTCACTACCAATTACCACTGAAATCGCTTGTCACTCATTCTGCCTCAGTTCTAGTAGCGGTGACGCATGCGAGCCTCAGTCGTTTACACTCTTTCTCCCCGGCGTGTCGGACCGCAGCTAACAATTATCTCCGTGTGCATTTCATTCTCAGCAATAGCCTAGCCTCCCCGGCGTATACGACCCATCTGCTGTCCTTAACATCAATCAATTCATTCACGGATGTAGAAGAGTGGCCACAACTTCAGAAGTAATCACGACGAAAATTTTAACAAAATTATGCAATAACAACAAGGTACGAAAACAACGAGTAAACACAATGAATTCAAATAACACCAATTGATATGACACACCACACGTATATACAAACAGTACACACAAACTCGCATTTCATGTCTTGATGGAATACCCTTGAAGAATTGCAGGACTTACACCAGTACGCCTACAAACCTTCACAGGTTGACCATTGTAAGTTGTGGAATGTCCGGACACAAACAGAATTACCAACAGCTAGATGACAGATGATATCAATTCAGTATATACAATATGAACATATGTACAAAATCACACACCGAGCACATTAGACTGCTCATTGATGCGCTACCCTTTGAAGAATTGTAGGACTTACAGCAGTACGCCTACAACCCTTCTCAGGTTGACGCTCTAGGTTGGAAAATCATCTATTGTTTCATCCTCCGACTCTCTACTCTCAGCACCTTCCAGGAGACACAGTTTTCTGATATCTCGCACCAACATGCCACAACTAGTTCTCACCTCAACCGTCCTCACCAATCCATCACCACTACAGATCAGCCTTACTACCACTCCCAAAGGCCACCTACCTGTGGCACATTTATCTGCTACTAATACTATGTCACCAACCTTTAAGTTTCGGCACAACTTTTTCCACTTGTCCCTGGTCTGCAATGTTAGAACATACTCCTTAAACCATCTTTTCCAAAATATATCTTTCATGTGCCTGGCTTGTTTCCATCTTTTAATCGTAGGTATTCCTTCCCCGCTTGCGTCCTCTATGCCAGGGTTGCCTCTCAATAACAATAATTTATTTGGGGTTAACACATCAAAATCCTTGACGTCGTCCCTCACAGGCGATAACGGCCGGTCATTTAATATTCGTTCAGCTTCACAAAAAAATGTCTCTAGCGTTTCGTCATTCAAACTCTGGTTTTTAATTATGGAGCTTAAAATACGCTTGATAATTCCTATAAGTCTTTCCCATAGCCCACCTCTATGGCTGGCATGTGGTGGGTTGAAGTGCCACTCGATGTTCCTTTTCAGTAACTCTTCCTGAACTCTCGTTTGAGGACCTTCGAAGTATTCTTTAAGCTCGGCGTGACAGCCAACAAAATTAGTCCCTCTGTCGCTGAACATCATCTTCGGTACACCCCGGCGATTTATAAATCTATGTAATGCTAGCACGAATGAATCAGTAGTTAGAGAATGAACCATCTCAATATGCACAGCTCTCATTTTCAAACAGGTGAATAAACAGCCATATCTTTTACATAGGGTTCTGCCTCTCTTCACTACAAAAGGTCCGAATAAATCCACCCCAACGTACTCAAATGGATAATTCCCTTCAGAAGCTTGCCACGCTGGAGTGGTGCCATTATCTGCTGTACTGGACGAGCATTTCGGAGTTTACATTCCATGCACTTATCAATTATTTTACGGACAGCAGTACCTCCCTTCACTATCCAGAACTTACATCGAATACTTGATAGTACTTGCGAAGTACCCAAATGACCTTCAAGAACATGGTAGTGTCTTATAATGAGATCAGTGACTGGATGGTAGCAAGGTAATAAAGCCGGATGACGGGTCTCATATGACGATTCTAACATTTGTAGACGTCCACCAACTCTAGCGATCCCTTCGGAAACTATCGGAGATAATCTATCTAACCGCACCTTGAAATCTGCGAAATCGGGACTATCCTCCTTGGTAATCTCACCCCACGCTTCCCACTGAGCAGCCCTCAAAATCGTTAACTCTGCATTTCTAATATCTTCGACTCTCAAAGGCCCCACATTCATATTTTCGTATCCCGCAAGATGCATGACCTTTAAATACGTAACATATCGTGTCAACCACGCAACCGCTTTCAGTAGTTTGTACCAAGAAGAATAATATTTAAAAAGTGGATGTAAACCTGAATGTCTTTCTTGAGTAGATGTTAAACTGACACTTGTCTTCAACTCCAAGGCACACTCGTTTATCGGTGGTTCATCTTCTCTACGAGGCCACATACTATCAGCCCTTAGCAAGAACTCTGGACCTTTCCACCACTTATTTTTAACAACATTCATATCAATAACTCCTCGCGATGCTAGATCAGCTGGGTTTTTTCCAGACGGTACGTACCTCCACTGCTCAACAGTGGTTAGTTCACGAATTTGAGATACTCTGTTAGCTACAAAACATGCATATCTTGCTGACTCGTTGCGTATATAATATATCACAGACATCGAATCAGTCCAAAACGTTACGGGATGCTTGGGGTAATCCAACTCTTTACACACTGTTGTGAATAACTGCGCAGCTAGTAAGGCGGCATTAAGTTCTAATCTCGGAATCGAAACCGTCTTTAGAGGTGCAACTCTGGATTTACCCATCACCAGGCTAACATCTATATCATTCATTAAGGTGGTTCTGATGTATACGGCTGCACCAAATCCAACCTCAGAGGCATCAGAAAAAACATGGAAGTCAATTATATCATGATTTCTCGACGGCTTAAGTGGACGTGAGACGGAATGTAGATTCAGCATTCTTAAACTGTTAACCCACCCCTTCCACTCTTCTCTCTGCCTCTCACTTAATGGTTCATCCCACTGTAACCCTTTCCTGCATGTCTCTTGAAATAACCTCCTAGCCGGAAGTAGATAAGGTGCTACTAATCCAAGTGGGTCAAACACGGACGACAACACAGAGAGCACACCTCTCCGAGTAACTGGCTTATCAATATCACCAACACTAAATCCAAAGGTATCAGAGTTCACATCCCATCGCATACCTAATGTGCGTTCAACTGGTAGAGTATCAACAGGCAAATCTCGTACGGTAGGTGCTCTATCTTCTGGATCTATATGCTTCAAAACGTCTAGGCTGTTCGAGACCCACTTAGTTAGACGAAAGCCGGCCTTAGCTAACACTTCAGTGATGCTTGTTGCAAATCTAACTGCAGACTTATCATCATCGAAGGAGGCTAAACAATCATCCACGTAGAAGCAACAATCTATGACGTCCAGCAAATCATTAGAACCAAATGTGGACACTGCCTTTCGTAGAGCAAAATTAGCACAAAATGGGGAGGATGTGGCACCAAATGGATGCACTGTCATCCTATATTCTGACACCTTACCACAAGGACCGTCATCAAACCACAAAAACCTCAAGTGATCTCTGTCACTCTCTGGCACCTTCACCTGAAGGAACATTTCCTCAATATCCGCCGCGACAGCAACTGTAAACTTTCTGAATCTCAATAGCAGTCCCACTAATGAGCTCACGCAATCTGGGCCACTATACAGATTATCATTTAAAGAGACTCCTTCGTGTTTCGCAGAACAATCAAACACCACACGGAGTTTACCTGGCTTCCTCGGGTTAAAGACGGGATGATGGGGCAAATACCACTTCCCTGGCTCACTTTGATCAACTAGTCTTTCAACGTAACCCTTCACTATATGTTTATCGACGACTTCCTTATATTTGGACCAGAGTTCTGCATCTGACAGGAATTTCTTCTGTAAACCCATTAGTCTCTTAAGAGCAACTTTCCTATTACAAATCAACTGTCTATCTTTGAATCTCCATGGTAGGCCAACGCTGAAACGCCCGTTTTCGTATTTACAAGAGTCCTCGGCTATTTTAACTGCTTTCAAGTCTTCTACAGAACGACCTTTCCCTGGGACACCGCAGTCACAAAACTCCTTGTCATACATATTTTTAATCATAGTTTCTAGTTTGTCCCCATCGTTTGTAACTAATGATGATATGTGGACTATGGGTATAGGTCCTCTCACTGTCCATCCCAGTGGTGTTTTTGTCGCAAACAGATCATCTCTACCTCCAAATCTCTCTTCTAATACCTTGTGGGCTTCTGGCACACTACATCCAATGAGTACTCTCACTCTTCCATCTTGCAATGTTGGAAGAGGTATGTCACACAGGTATGGCTTACCGACAACCGTTTCACGACTAGGTACTATAGCTTCGCCAAGTTTCATACTGGAGGTAGTGTAAGCAGTATCCACTTCCACGGTCTCCCCTGTAGCCAAGGATTCTAACTGAAATGACACTCGCTCACATACTACTGTTTTCGCAGAATTGAAAGTATTTACAACCAAGGGTTGCTTTGGGCCTTTAATACCCAAGCAACCAGCCAGTTCAGCATCTATCAATGTAACGTCTGAACCATTATCCAACAATGCATAAGTCTCTACTGAAGATTTCGGTCCTTTCACCTTAACTGGTAATACCCCTAAGAAAACTTGTGGGATGTCAAGGGGTCTAGAGATACTATTACAATTAACCGAACTCCCAGGTTCGTTCACTGTTCTCAGAAGTGGGTGCATATCCGTTAAACCACTACTTCCTTTATTTGTCGCCTTACAATTCCACTTTGTATGCCCAATCTTTAAACAACTGAAACACAGCCGCTTCTGCTTTGCCATTTTTAACCTTTCTACGGGTGACATAGCGATAAAGCGATTACAATCACTCAATTGATGCATGTTATGGCAGACAATACACTCATCCTTTCTCGTTGTGTCTTGAGACTTCACCACAAATGCCTTCCTTATATTCACTGGTTCCTTAGGTTCTACCTTAGAATGCAAAATGCTGGCGAATTTGCCCATCGCCTGGTTGACACTGTCCTTCACCAGTCTAAGAATATCATCGAACCTTGGCTCGATACCCTCCTCCTCTATACGAGAGCTTATTTTTACCCATTTCCTTTGCAGCCGCGTAGGTAGGCGTCTTGCAATTACCTCTAGGACTGAGCTGGAGTTGAGGTCACTCATGAAATTCATAGAAATCAAGGTATTCTTGTAAGTCATAAGATTGTCTAAAAACTCAGTGAGTGCCTTGGAGTCATCTTGAAGTTGACTGCCATTACCCTTGACAGCTTCGTATACGTTCCTTACAATCATCGAAGGCCTTCCAAACCTTTGACGTAATATGCTCATAGCCTCAGCGTATCCCTCATTAGGGGGCATGAGCTTACAGCACTG